TTTTTTTTTTCTTCTAAGTATGCAAGGAACCAGAGCCTTCAGGGAAACATCCACAGGGCAATAAGAGTCCTGAACTTTGCCAATCAGGCCAGCCTGAAGCATTTGGGTACATGTTCTCTTATTTGTTTCTGATGGTTTCTACCAAAACCCTAATCTCTTAAAGAAAGTTTATTGTGCATCTGATTACAATATTTGGAATTGGGCTCCTGACTGAGGGCCCAGTCCCATTCCCGGGAGGAAGGGGTGCCGGGGACAAAAGGGAATGCATACATGGTTCCTGAAGGAGGTGTGCTGGACGGGGTCCTCAGCTGCCAGGGAAATGCTGCTGAGCAGAATGAAGAAGAGGATCAGGTTGGTGAAGATCGTGTCATTGACGATGCGGTGACACTGGAGGCGAAATCTGTGTGGGGAGGAGAGAAGGACAGAAGCATGTCAGGTAGGCAAGGGAAGCAGCTCCCGGGTCCCTGGAGCTCAACACTCTTTCACTCAACTTGTGAAAGGTGCTTGTTCGTTTGGGGGTGGGCTCTTCATCTGAGGTCTTATGGCTGCTGGGTAATGACAACCACATCCCACCCCACCCCCCTCTGTGCCCCCACTGTGAGGCACATCTGCACAGAATTTGGCACTTTCACAGGCAGTTAGCTTTTGACATTTTGGAGGGTTATATCTGAGACCTTTGGGAATCCTCAAATTTTCATATACTTCTGTGACATTAACAGCTGGCTCTTTGGGGGGGGGACTTCTTTTTCCCATCATTAAAAAATCATTTTATAAGATCTTCATATATTTATGTATAGGGAATGACAGAGCTACCCAGAGACGTGGATGGTGAGAGGCCAGCTCAGCTTACACTCTAGCTAGGCAATTTGCTCCTGTGTAAGAGCTTCAAGGCATGCAATTAAATTCCACACCTCAGCATAATTACAAGGAACTACATGCATGGACCTCTGGGCACTCATTGACGGTGTCACAAATGCTAGATCCTTGAATGCCAAGTGTATCTTATATAGTATCTCATACTGCCAGCCTAGGAATGGGATATGGGTGTTAGTATCTTCATTTTATAGCTAAAAACACTGAAACCTGAGAAGGAGAGCCTGGCCCAGAAAGACAGCATGTAAAGTGTTGTGTGTGCTTGGCGGGGGGCGGGGGGGGGGGGGGGGGGGGGGGGGGGTGGTTAGGGCTTGAATCCAGTTTCAGACTTCTGCTCGCAGCATTGTGATTGACTAAATGCTCTGAGAGACCCTAGTGCTGCAGAAGCAGCAAATCCTGGAAGGACAAACCCTTTGAGACAATTTTGGCTTCATTAGAGTTAAGAGGTCTGCAATGATTATCCCTTTCAAACAAATAAACAAACCCACAGAGCCAGGGTCTGTGTGATAGGTAGCCAGGAAGGACAGAGTTGCCTGAGGATAGACGCCAGTGGTAGCCCTGCTATCAGGAAACTGCATTTCAAGCCAGACTCGAGGTGGGGCACAGAAGCTTGGGACTCTCAGGCTGAGCCAACACGCTTAAGAAGCATCTGGAAGAAAGCTTCCCAATCTTAATTTAGGTCCACAGGAATCTCACCAACTAAGATAAAGTATTGAGGTCATAATCAAAGATTAAGCACACAAGAGGATGAGCCGCTAAGATGGGAAATCAGAAGAAACTACAAACAAGTGATTTAGAACCCCCTCCCAAAGACTGTGTATACTGGACATATCAGATAGAGAATGTAGAACAACTATATTTTGAATATTTAACAGAATAAAGGACTTGAGCACAAAGATGATGAATCAACAAGGGAAGTATTAGATATAGACAGATGGATCTGGAAAATCAATTAGCAAATGGAATTGTTTGAAATGAAAAAAGAATTAAGTTGATTTAAAAACTGGTTTAAACAGTAACATAGACAAAGTTGAAAAGAGAATGAAGAAGTTGGAAGCTATATCTGAAGAAACTACCCTGAATACAAAGAGAGATAAAGAGGTGAAAGATTTGCAAGACACAGTAAGAGATAGGAGGACAGAATGAGAAGGTCTAACCTATGTCTAATTGGAGTGCCAGAAGGAAAGAATAGAGAGAAAGAGATTATGGCTGCAACTTTTCAAGAATTAGAAATTCTTATTCTAATTTTTAATGTTGTTCAAGAACTGGAGAAAAATATAAATCCATAACATCCCAAGCAGGATAAATGGAAAAAAATCCATATCTAGATACATGGTAGTAAATCTAAACAATATCAAGGCCACAGAAGATATTCAGAGCAGCTAGAGATAAAAGGCAGATTACCTACAAAGGTAGGTAGCTACCTACAAATGTAGGAACGATACACTATAATAATATGTTTAACACACTGTGAGACAAATTTTATCGACCTAAAATTGTATACATAGCAAAACTATTTTCCAAGAACAAGAAATGAAAACAGAGATAAACAGAGGCCAAATAACTTTACCATAAAGGAACACTAGGGGCTTCTAAAAAATGTGCTTAGGAAGAAAGAAAATGATTGCAGAAGGAGGGACTGAGATGTATGAAAAAATGGTGAACAAGTAAAATGGCAAGTTGTATGTACATCCAAATCTACATTGTCTATAGAATAATAATGATGATGATAATGTCTAACTTGTTAAGTTAAAAAGAGTTAGGACTAAAAATACTAAGCAACAACATATAAGTTAGGAGGGCTGAGAGGAGTTAAAGTAGCATAAGTTCCTTCTATTTTGCAGGAGGAGGTCTAGGATACTGCTTAACTTTAGACTTCGTTAAGTTAAATAGACTTAGTAAATTACCAAAGGTAATCACCAAAAGACTAGAAATAGAGTTTACATGTGTCAAAAAAATGGAGGGAAAAACAGACACGGGTCTTCTGATTTGGAATCCAGGGTACTGTTTACACAAGTTGTGGGGGGTTGGCAGAGTCCCAGGCTCCACTAGAGGTCGGAGGATGCTGGCATCTGCTGCACATGTGGCTTGGAGAGAGCAGAGTCCCACCTTCCCCACCATTCTTGCACACCTGTTGTTGGGGCTGAAGATGAAAAACGCACTGGCTTCTGGCATTGGCACTGCCTTTTCCTTAAGGTGCAGCTCAGAGAGTGGTCGTGGGCGGGGGCCCACAGGCATCTCAGGCTCCTCCTCATCCTCTTCTCCTGTAAGAAAAAAACCACCATTCTAAATAACTCCACTACTCCCACGAAGTTTTACCGCTATGCTGCCTTCTTCCAGATACCTTCCTACCGCCCAGAATCAAGACATCATTTGCGTCTCTGAAAATGAGAGGTATCAACTAAGACACTCAGCTCTCTCCCTGTGAGTGCTGGAATCTTTGTATAGAGAGACTTTTTCTGGCAGCACATGACAAGGGGGGTTGTAAGTAGGGTGACTAGTTCAATCCCAGTTTGCCAAGGACTGTCCTGGTTTCTAAACTGAGATTCCCATACCCCAGGAGGCTCCTCAGTCCCATGTGGATTCGGATGGTTGGTTATCCTAGTTGTAAGGCCCTAGGAAAGGTGATCAGGTAAGACTAGGGCATTGCCAGGTGTCTTTTCCATCTAGGCTGCAGGTAGGGGCATGGGTACGGCTCAGTTGACTTGCAAGCAACCCCATCCTTGAAGGTTCTAGGAGTTTAAAATTAACACTCCCATTCCTGAAAAATACCAAAAACTCATGTGCTGTAGGGATAAAAGGGCAATGATGCTGACCACAACAAGCACTTCATTCAAAAGTCTAGACATTAGCACCAGTTAAAGAAGCCCCTTTGTTCTCCAGGCTAGTGGCCACATTCACTGTGGACCAAAAGGAAATGGCTTACTTTGCTTGCAAGGTCATTGCCCATGGTAGGAAACTACTACATATCCTGTCTGATCAAATGCATTTAAAAATGTTTAGAAGGGGAACGGGAGTAAGAGCATGGGTTCTCCAGCCAATGCCTTGACCCAAATCTTGGCTCTGTTTCTCTTTGGCATTGAGTCTCTTTGTGTCTCAGTTTCCCCATTTGTAAATGGGATAATAGTACATACCTACCTCAGAGTGGCGCCTGGTACATGGCAAGTGCTGTATAAACGGAAGCTGTTGTTACGATCTCTACCCACAGGAAAGACTCACAGCCTGTAAGGTAGTGCTTAACATCTTTCTCAGTCCGACCTCTGCCTGCTCTTATTCCCTGACAGACTTTCCACTCACATCAGCCTGTTTTCTGAAGGCTCATGGTAGTGGGTTGAATCACGTCCCCCACAAACTCATGCCTAGCCAGAACCTCAGAATGTGACCTTACTCTGGAAACAGTGTCTTTGCAGATGTAGAGTCATGATGAAGTCATATTGGAGTAGGGTGGGCCCTAAATCCAAGGACTGCTGTCCTTATACGGAGACACAGAGACACACACGTGAAGACAGAGGCCGCTGGGAGTGATGAGGCTGACAGGCAAGGAGCGCCAAGGACAGCTGGCCATCAGCAGAGACAGGGAAGAGGCGAGAGAGGATCCCCCCTGGAGCCCTGAGAGGGAGGATGGTCCTGCCAACACCTGAGTTCAGACTTGGAGGCTCCAGAACCATGAGAAAATAAATGTTTGCTGTTTTAAGCCACCAAGTTCATGGTTATTTGTTATGAAAGCCCCAGGAAATGAATACACTTGCCATGTGCTTTCCTTTCCTCACTCTGTCTCCTTATTTGAACTGCTCTCATCTCCCTCTCTGCAGAGCTAGAAGGACTCCCATGTAAGACAGCATCATGCACATGGCTCTCATGGGTACCTGGGCTCCCCCGAATGACCTTCCTGTGATTCCAGAGCCCTGTCGGCCTCCTGCATTCACTTGGCACCTAGGACAAAATAGCTCGAAGGCCTGATTTTACATGTATCTCTCTGTTCCATCTCTGAGAGAGACACTATGGAGACACTATGCCCAGGATGTAGTCGCCCTTAGTTTTTGATGATGATTACACTTTCACACTAACATTTGCTTTATAAGGAAGAAGACTTTGCAAAAGAAGGTCAGGTGGAGACTCAGCTGTTGGAAAGATAGTTATGGGAAGTTTATCTTATGGACCAGCCATGTCTCTGCATGCTCTCTCTTCTTCTGGTTAAAATGAAGCCAGGTGGTGCAGAGGAAAAAAAAAATGCTTGGCACAGAAGGTGGTTCTTTATCAAGCAAGAAGCATTTAGGGCCCAAGGATTTTTTGGAGGACCAGCAGAATATAGGCATAAATCAGTTTTTTTTCCCCTGGAGTAATTAGAGCTGACCAGCAAAGCAATTAATATTTTTAGCATTAGAGAGCTGTGAGATGAAAAATTGTGTACAGGCCAAGGGTTGGAGCCTTTTAACCAAACCTTGGTAGGTAGAAGAAAGGCAGAGTCTCCTAGTAAAACAAAATAAATAAAACTGGAGTTGACCTAAATCGAAATCTTTACAAATGAAATCTCACTGAGAAGGCTCTTAAATTCCTGCCCAACTTGTTTGTATTCTTTTTAGTTTTGCTCTAAATGAGCCAACACTTTCTTATTCATGATAATTTGGTAATAGGTAATTTAATGCTTACTTTAATCATTTTTGTTTATAGAAAAACATATTTCCTAGCTTTGTGGTTTTCCGAGTTCCTGGCGAAGAGTTTTTCATGCTCTTTCATCTGCAGTAGCCTGCCTCGCTGTTTTGAAGCTCTACCCTGATTTCCATTGCTAGGGAGAAGCAAGTCAGTCGGTTTAGACACACAGCAGCTGAATTCCAGGCATAATGTTTAAGAGGAAACCACTTCTAAAGGACAAACCCAAATTTGTAAAGGGCCAGAAATCTGACAGCTGTGATGCTTTGCATGTATTACGGATAAGGAGCGAGGCTGGCAGAGTAGGAAAAGTCAGGTAAAGTTCTGTTTATGGGGTTGGCAACTGAACTACCTACAATTCCGCTCCCAGATGCCAGTGGACTCCCTTGGGGATCTTTATTTTCTCATCTCCATTCTTGGAGGTGTGGAGAAGTGCACTGTGGACTTGCTTGCCAGATGGCAGGTGCCAGTGCTCAAAGGTAAAACTCCTGGGTAGCTGAATGCCCGACACTTGGTCCTCGGTGATACTTGTCCCCACCCCATTTGACACTCATTTTCACCTCTGTGATTTTGCTCATGGCCAATTCAGATAAAAATATTATTTCTAACATCTAGTGCCTACAGCGTACTGAACACAAAGCTGTGGTTCTTGCCCTCAAGGGACTTACAGTTTTTAGCGTGACCCCAGAGTTCACTGGCATGATTGGCAAGGCCACACCCCCTGGAAGCGAGCTGTGTGGGTGGCATCTGGAGACAGAAGGCTGAGGATGCACCTGCTGCTGCATCGGGCATGTTCTCTGCTGGCTCAGCTCCAAAACCTCATCTCCTCCCATTGCTCATTTTCTCTCTCTGACTTCTAGGCCACTAGCAAGTCCTGTAAAATGTACCCCAAGTTCCGCCACTTCTCCGTATCTCCAGCATCACCATTCTGGCCCAAGCAGCCACCGCCTCTCACGGGACCACTACTAACATTCTCACTGCCTCCAGTTTTACTCTTGACCATCTACTGCCCTGTTTTCATACAGCACAGTTTGCTAAAGGTAATTCTGACACCAGATCTTATCTTCCTCTGCCTGAGAACCTCGGGTGAGTCTTCAACTATCTGAACCTCTCAGGTGGCCTCAGAGGCCCTGCCCCCCTGGCTCCTGCCTAGTCCCTGTCTCACCCACTACCTTTCCCCTTCGTTCTCTTTCCTCTAAGCACATTGGCCTCTTCGGATTCCTCCACAGACCAGTCTGCCCAAGAGATTCTGCATTTGCTAGCTCTCCATCTAGAAAGCGTTTTCCTCTGATTTCCATACATCTAGTTCCTCTGCCTCATTCAGGTTTCAGCCCGAATGCCACCTCCTTCAAGAGGCCTTCACCGACCACACAGCCAAAGCAGCCCCACGCCACTGAGGAACTCGCTCACATAGTCCTTGGCCTCATTTATCTCCTTGCTGTTCACTGCTACCTGACGTTACCTTTTCAGTTGGCCTCTTTTCTTGCTCACTGTCTGTCTCCCACTGAAATGTAAGCTCCAGGAGAACAGTGGCCTTGCCTGTCTTGCCTACAGGTGTATCCCTGGGGCCTGCCACAGTACCTGGCACACAATAGGTGTTTCACTAGTAGTTATTTTTTTTAATTAACATATAATACATTATTTGTTTCAGAGGTACAGGTCTGTGATTCATCAGTCTTACACAATTCACAGCGCTCACCATGGCACGTACGCTCCCCAGTGTCCATCACCCAGTCACCCCATCCCTCCCACCCTCATTAGTAGTTATTAAGTGAATGAATACCTCCACGGTTTCTTCCAGCTCCCTGTCTACGACAATAGTATGGTCCTGAAATAACTTCTGTTCTCTCCCACTCCCCAAATGCCAAGCCCAGCCCAGCCTACTCTTCTCCGTGAAGGCTGGCTGTCTCTCCCCCAACTCCCCACCCCATGGCTCTGCTTCTGCTCGAACCCCTTGCAGTAGTTGGAACCTCCCCACAGCACTCAGTGCTGTCCTGTGCATTCTCTGGTGTCATTCACTTTCTTTTTCAAGTGTCCTTGTTAATTTTAAGTCCTCAGTGATTCTTACCATCTGTATGTTCCCTCTAATAAATGAATTGATTAAATAAAAGCACAATCTTGGCACCCTTCCTAGGTGAGTACATATTTCTAAAATTTAGTGTATACTAAGCTGGGAGGCTCCAACCAACTGTTGAGCTTTGGGGATTCAATGGGGAGGGAAGGACTGATACGCCACAGCTGGCCGGTTGGCACTTTGTGCCAATCAGAAACCTGCCCCTCCACTGGGTGTTCCTGTGAGGGCAGAGGCCCTGGCTAGGGGAGCGCAGGCTGGAGCTCCACCCCGCTCAGCGGCTTCGGCACACACCTTTGGGTGCAACCTGGACGAGCAAGCACAGTAACCTGGGGCGGGGGTGGAAGGTCACGGGCATAGGGGGAGAGGAGGAAGCCTGAGTGAGAAGTGGGGACAGGAGGAGGTATGAGAGTATTCTCTGCCCCTACCCCTTCTTTCTCTGGGAGTCTGGCTGTAAGTGGGGCAGGTGCGATGCTCACCAGCGCTGCCTCCCAAGGGGCATCTGTGTGAAGTGGGCACAGCAGAGGCCGGATGCCCAGAGGCTGTCAAGCAGAAGGGGCAGGGTTGGGAGGACAATAGCAGATCAGGTTCCTTGCCTTTTCTGGTTCAGAAGAGAGAGAAGCAGGTGGGAATGAGAGATTGACAAGAACAGAGAGAGCAGGCCAAGTGATTCTGGGAGGCATCTTTGGGGACTTCTGCTGCACCTGATACTAGAGTCCAGGAGGTGACCTGTGGAGGCAGGGGAAGGAGAAGCCAGGAAGCAGAGGCTGGTCCCTTGGAGGAAGGTGGAACATGAGGCACCACCAGCTTTAAGAGCATACCACCCTTGGGTGAGAAAATGGAAAGCAGGGACGGTGAACAAATGGGGGGCTCTGGGGGGCTGGCCTTGAAGGCCTGAGTGTGGTGGTGGGCTGAGGCAGGACAGCCTCAACTATCTATGGACCAGAGTTCTCAACACAGATGTGTGAGATGCATGGGACCAAGAAAAACCTGGGAAGGGCTGGGTCTGCAGGAAGCTAGAGAAGGGTGATCACACAACGGGGGAAGGGACACTCTAAAAAATCCAAAGAATCCTGACAAATTAGCAGAATGTGGGAAGAGCTTTTCAGTCAAAAAGCAAAACCATTCCAAGAATCCTCAAAGCTGGGTCAACAGAGGGACTTTTCTATAGTGGCCAATATGGTGACAATGTCCTCATTATTTTTTTTCCCCCTGACCTGCTTCTCTTTGATTTCAAAGGGCAACAAAGAAGAGAAAAGGCACTAGTATATTTAGAATGATGAAACTAGAGACTATGGTCGTAGGTGTGGCTGCCCCACTGCCAGGTAGAAGGAGCAGGCCTGGGCTATCCGCGCTCTCCCCCTGTGCTGTGTGCAGCTGGGGTTGGCTCTGCTTGGGGCCCAGGGGGATTCCTTTGATTACTGTCTTTCCTTTTAAACTTTGAAAATACACACAAGTCAAGGGACTTGTGTGGTGACCCTCTATATCCAGCTTCAACAGGAGCTGCTGGAGTATATTTTAAAGCACTTTCTAAATATTTTAGATTCTAGCCATACACACGTCTACATTTATAAGCTAGAACTATAATAACACCACTGCAGTAACAAAATAAATGGAAACTAATGATTTTAAGTAGTTTTTGTTTAAAATCATTAGTTTCCAGTCCATATTCAATTTCCCCCTGCATATTATCTCCAAAATGTCATGTTAGAGTTAAGTTGGTGATTCAGGACCAAGACAGAATTCCCCATTGACTTTGGTCAACATGTCTAGTCTTTGAAATCCTGTAAGAATTTCCACCCAGAAGAGATTTCAGGCTTCAGACACCCTTCCTGCTCTTCCCTTGGTCCAATCCCCAGCAAACCAAATCCTCCTTCCCTGGAGGTGGGAGGTGAGTGAGGATGGAATGACGGCCGAGAGCCTGCTTCCCAAGGGAAACAGAAGATGGCTGCCCTGCAGACAAGCCTGCAGAGGACCGGTGGAGGGGAGGCCAAAAGGAAAACCTAGCTTTGCTCATACATGTAGAAGGTTTTTAGCTACTTAACGTGGTTACCAACTCAAATATAGCTCAACCTCCACAGAGAAGGAAATGCCAGTAAAACAACGGTCCCTTGCTGTGTGCAGCTGATGGCAGACTTGAAGCTGAGAGGGATGGCAGCAGTTGTAGGGACAGGGAGGCAAGCCCGGGGCTTGTATGGGATGTGGAGCTTCATGAGGCAGAGAAGTGAATTCTGGAGGGAGGCCTGAGGACCTCTGACAGTAAGCCTTCTCAAAGGAGACTGCCTGCCAACTTAGGTATTGGAAGATGAGAAGGCTGAGTTGTGAAGAGTTCTTTTTATAATAAATGAAAGCATTTTACAAAGCAACAAGTGAGACATCTGTGGTGGCAGCTGTCCTTGTACTCAGCACTGCCACCCGAGTAAGGGCAGGACAGAGTCGCGATTTACGACGAGCGTCATGCTGCAACATGCAAATTATATAAGTTAATGATTTTATGGCATAAGATATAATAAAACCTTAAATGTCTACAGAATCCACCTTCCAAAGGGCATAAAAGACTGCTCAAACACAATTTATTTAATGTTATGTTGTTATTATGAGGAAGACAGGAGCAAAGTTCTCCTCTGGATGATAACTGGTAATGCCTAACTACGGAGAGAGGACATTTAGCAGTGCAAGGTACTTGTAGAGGGAACCTGGAAACACCAGTCCCTAATACATAGCTACTTCCACATGGCTTTTGAATCCGGATCTCTACCCCCAACCTCCCAATCTCAGGGTTAGGCAGTGGGATTGGTACCTGTATTTTCTGGGTTTGGGTAGGGACTCTTATCCTCATTTTCATTGGGCTGGAGGTCATCCATGTTGATCTAGGCAGCCAAATGAGAGAAGGAGGAAGAATCCAGTTAGAAATGTTCACTAGTTAGAGAGGCTTAGGGTAGCCTTGAAATTGCATCATAGTCAATGGCTGAGCTGTTACCTTGCATATATCCTTTAAGACATCAACAGAAGGCTGGGACTCACCCAGCTGGCCTCTCTTCACATTGCTAGCCCTCCTGCTCCACCCTCCTGGGCTTTCTTCCACTGAGTCTCTTTTTTTCCTTCCTCCTTCCTTTCCGTGGGTGCCTGGCCTGGGAAGACCGTGCCCTCCTACCCCAGCAATGGGCCTCCCGGCTCCTGGAAGGGGGTTGCTTCTTACCTTGGTGGTGGGTGGGGATTCTCCATCAGCTGTAATGGATTTCAGTTCAATTTTCTCCTCCTTGGTCTCCTCCACTGCTGGCTTCTCCACCACCTCTTGTTTCTTCTCTGGGCTGGCAGTCCTGGCCGGTCAGCAGGAGGAAAAATTAAAGGAATGTTTACTGAATGATAGGAAACATGAAGACACAGACTACCCTATGGTCTGCTGGGGACCGGTGGGAGCAGACTCCCTGGGCCTACGTCCATCTTCCTTCACCCAGGGCACATGGCATGTGTCACTCAATCCCAGATGCCACTGGGCTGGGCCCACAATGCCTGGCCTGGCTCTGTCTGGTACTCAGTTGGCCTCTTTCAGGTTCTTAGCTGCTCCAGTCCTTGTCTGAATCAGAAAAAGTTTCTGGATCTGATTCAGGATTGGTTCCTGGAAAATTCTGCTCAGTATCCAGCAGGTGTGTGGCCTATGACAGTTCCATTTAGACAATGACAAAAGACAATGCAGGGCCTTATCTTGCTTTCTGAACACTGGAGATGAGTTACCAAACAGTGAAAAGGAGTCACTCAGCTGGAACTGCATTTCCTCTCTGAATGGCTGCTTTCCTCTTCTCTGCATCCGTCACTCCCACCACCTATCATGACCTCCCTTCTCAAGAGCATCCTCCAACTTCTTAGACAGGTGGGGGAAATCCAGCACCTTCACAGAGACTGTAATTCATGACGGTCCCTACTTTAGAGCAATGCCTAGGTATTAGCAGAGAGGCCCAGCTTTCTGTAGGAAGCCCCAAACCCAGTGCCCTCTAGGAGGGATGGCTGACAGAGGCCAGCGCCCAAGCCTGTCTTTACCACTAATGGGAATGGCATTCCAGAACTGGGACCCTGGGGCCCTGGGTCTGGGTAAGCTTAGGGGGTTACCTGGCCAGCTTCTTTCTCTCCTTCTCTTCTTCCTCCTCCTTTTGGGCAGATGTGAGGCTCTCAGCATCAGCCAGGTTGTCCACAGCAATGGCCAAGAACACATTCAGTAGGATATCTGTTTGTGTCCATTCTTAAAGAAAATGACCTTGGCCTTGGGGTTTTTGATGGGCCCAGGGGTCAGGGAGGTACAGGCCATGCAGTGGTAGAGTTCCCCACAGAGTGAGCTCAATGGTGACTCACCCCGAGGGTTCCCAGCCCAGTAGTGTCCCTCCTCCACCCCTCTCCCTCCCCATCACCCTCCTAGCTGCCGGGAGTTTTCTAAGGGGTTGAGAATAGGCTAGCTTGCAGGCTGGAGTGGGCAGCAAGTGAGGCAGTGAGCCTGCCTTGCTCCTTAATTGCTGGGTTTCGTTATTGGTTTCCCCACTGAGATGACTGGCTGTAATTGACATTATAAACAGCATTGTCTCTAGCAGAATGCAGAATGTTCTTAAGAGTGGTTCATTAAAACCGGGTACTGAGGAGGCAGCCTGATATCTGTGCCAACTCTTAATGTGAGCCTGCACATACAAAGACCCTTGGAGTGTCCAGCTGAAGCTGACCGAATCTTGGGGACTCCGAATCGAAGTGGTCATTTGTCCTTTTTTCTCGCCGCCCCACCCCCACCCCCACCTTGAACAGAAACACTGTGGGTCAGAGAACTGCAGAATCAAAGAAAGTATAGCTGCACAGGCCTTATCATTCGTTAAGTCTAACTCCACCTCCCAGGCCCCCAGACAGTCACACCATTTCACATACCAGGAAGCCATGACCCACAGGGGCGAAGGGTTTGCGCAAGGGTGCTAGCGTACACCTGCCCCCGGCCGCTGGCACCGTGGGCAGGGGCTTCACATACATCACCCGTTAAACCTCACCAGGACCTGTTAAGAAGTAGGCACTGATATTTCATCACCCCGTTTTACAGACACTGAGGTAGAGAGCCATTAGTTGCCGAGGTCACCCAGAGGGTAAAACGTGCAGCCGGTCTGCTGGCACCAAGGCCCAAGCTTCCAGCACTATGTTAAGCCCTGATTTAAACCCAAGTCTTAAAAAAATAAAAAATAAATTAAAAAAATGAAATAAAAATAAAAAAATAAACCCGAGTCTTGGGCTAGAGCTGCTTCTACTTTACCATCTCCTCTGCACACAACCCTCACGGGGTTAGACCGCCTGCGGCTTGAGAACCCAGAAACCCACCCATGGCCTGGATCAGCAAGGACCTGTCAGGTCTGCTTGGGGAAGCCTGTCCAGCTCTGCCTGGGACGAAAGTCCTGGAGAGCGGCTTCAGAGGGAGGGACACTGAGCAGAAAACAGGGAGGAGAGATGAAAGTCATTTCAAGGATGACGGCTCAGTTCCCCTGGATGGCACTTCTTACCTCCAGCAGCCAGAGGCCAGGGCTGTCAGGGTGCCCAGCTCCAAGTGTGTTCACATTGGAATCTATCTGTCTGTCCATGCACAACACCAGGGGGCGTTGTTCGCCAAGACTATAATGAGAACACGCCTCCTGGAGTCAGGCAACACTACAGCCCAAACTGGTTCAGGAAGATGAACTTACATCCCCACCTATGCCAAAGCTCCAGGCTTCCACCAAGACCTGCCTCCACGGCTAAGGTGGTTCTGGGACAGGACACGTTTTCTCCCCAGAGCACACCTTTCCCCTGCTTGCCTGGGGGCCCTGTGGGCGGGCAGCCACACTTTTCAGCCCCGAGTCAGGACCTGCTGGGCACACGTATTTGGCATCGTGCTGCAGGCTGAGGGAGGGTGGGGCAGCAGGGGCAGGGAGGCAGGAGCAAAGGATACAGTTTCCACAGATGAAGAGGATGATGAAGTAAATACAGACTAACATCCCTGGAAAAGAGGGGCCGCCATAAGCCATGATCCCATCATACATCACCGAATTCCAGTCCTCCCCGGTCAGGATCTGAATGACACATTCCCACCAATAAGGGACACAGCGTTAGACCAACAGCAAACCCCAAAACTCCCCTGCCCTGCCCCACTATGTTAACAGAACTGTCTAAAATCTCTTTTCCACCTCTTTCCCTCCTCTTGGCCCCCAGTTCTCCTCCCAGGGGCTCTGAGCTAATCACCTGGTCAAGTTTGACCCTATCCTTAGACAAAGTGCACGGGCCCTGGCATGATACTATTTGAGAACTGACTGGGAAGACTTCCTGGTCCAAGTATTTTCTTCTACTCGACTGCACAAGATGGCTGCCGTTAGCCATTCCTTGGGGCCTTTTTATAAATGTGAACGTGTTTGTTGAGAGAATACTATGCTGTTCCAGCTTTCCCCAGCGTTAGTCATTTGGGTGCCATCTTCAAGATTTGGGCCACATTCACATATTATTTTTCTTGTAAATCAATCTACTTTGAAACTTCAACAAGTGCTACTTTAGCTTTACTCTACACCAAAATATCTATGAAATGACAAATTTGATGGGCTAGTTATATTTCTTCTGGGGACAAGCGTGGTAGGTAAGAAAGACAGAGCTTCACCACCCTTCCCTCCCCCAACAAGGGCAGTGTCCTTTCCTCTGTTCGTACTTTGGGTGTTCATGTAGAATTTGCTTGAATAAAGGGTTCCAGGGTTAAGCAAGAGTTTTTAAACTACTCAATTGTATTTTTTTCCCCAGTAGTCCATCCAACAGTGGAATTCCATGGGGGACTGAGGGTAGGGGGAACTATAGAAAGAACTCAAGACTCTCCTGGGCATGGACCCTCCATGGCTGATCTAGGCTGGCTTTGGTTGCCCAGTGCAAGGGTGAAGCTTCCCACCACCTTTTCTCCCCCACAACCCAACCCTGCCACTCAACACCCTCCCACTCGTCATCTCAGCAGAGAAGAGTCCATACCTGAAACACAGTGAGGAGGGACTGGGGAAAGTTATCGAATGTGCTTCTCCGGGTCTGCATTTCATCAAAGTTGAACTTTCCCCCAAAGAGCTGCATCCCCAGGAGGGAGAAGATGATGATGAAGAGGAAGAGGAGCAGCAGCAGGGAGGCAATGGAGCGTACAGAATTCAGCAAGGATGCCACCAGGTTGCTTAAGGAATTCCAGTACCTGAGGACCAGCATGAGGGAGATTAGTGTCCTTTTTCTATGCTTTCCTTAACATCACTCCTCATTCATATACTCACTAGAGATTTTAAGATAAATTACAACTCTTTCTTTCTCCCTTTCATTGGGGTAGTGGTGGTGGTGTGGATTGGGCTGGTAAGCTCAAAATTAGAGTGTGGAGCTAGTTAATTCAAGGTCCCAGGATCAATAATGTGTAATGGCGAATAGATGGAGCTCAGAAGTCAGAAGCCTGACTGCCAGCTGCAGCTCCTTGCTGCAGTTGGGCAAGTCACTTAACTTCCCTTCTGTTTGCCTCTGAGAAAACAGAGGTAACAGTAGCACTTACTTCATTAGGTTATTGGGAAGATTACATGAGACAAAAAAAAAGCGGCCCACCCAGAAACAAAATAAAGAATAAACAAGTGGGATTACATCAAACTAAAAAGCTTCTGGTCAGCAAAAGAAATCATCAAAGTGAAAAGACAACCTATGGAACAGGAAAAAATATTTGCAAAACCATATATCCGATAAGGGGTTGATATCCAAATATAGAAAGAACTCAGACAACTCGACAACAAAAACAAAACAAAACAACAACCCAAAACCCAAATCCCCAATAATCCAATTCAAAAATTTGGCACAGGGGTGCCTTGTTGGCTCAGTCATTTGGGTGTCTAACTCTTGACTTCAGCTCAGGTCATGATCTCGGGGTCATGAGACTGAGCCCTATGTTGGGCTCCGTGCTCAGTGCGGAGTCTGCTTGTCCCTCTCCCTCACCCCCCTACTTGGGTGCATGTGTTCTCTCTCTCTCAAATCAATTAATCAATCTTAAAAAAAGTATAGTGCTTAAAAAAAAATTTGGCACAGGGCCTGAATAGACATTTTTCTAAAGAAGATATATGAATAGCCATCAAGTACATGAAAAGGTGCTCAACATCACTAGATGTCAGGGAAATGCAAATTAAAACCACAGTAAGGTATCACCTTACCCCTGTCAGAATGGCCATCATCAAAAAGACAAGAGATAACAAGTGTTGGCAAGGATATGGAGGAAGGGGAACCCTGGTGTGCTGTTGGTGGGATTGTAAACTGGTGCAGCCACTACGGAAAACAGCATAGAGGTTCCTCAAAAACTTAAAAATCAACTAACATATGATCCAGTGATTCCAATTCTGGGAATACATCCAAAGGAAATGAAAACACTAACTCAAAAAGATATCTGCACTCCCCATGTTCTTTGCAACATTATTTACAACAGCCAACCCAAGTGTCTATCGAGGGATGAATGGACAAAGAACTTGTGGTATATATAATACACACACACACACACACACACACACACACACACACACACTGGAATGTTATTCATCCATAAAAAATGAGGAAATTCTACCATTTATGACAACATGGATGGACCTTGAGGACATTATGCTAAGAGAAATAAGTCAGACAGAGAAAGACAAATACCGTATGATTTCACTTATATGTGGAATCTAAAAACAAAAACAAAAAAGCAAAAAAACCCACCTAACTCATGAAGAAAGAGATCAGATTTGTGGTTACCAGAGGTAGGGGGTGGGAGGAGGGAGAACTGGACGAGAGCGTCAAAAGGTATAAACTTCCAGTTATGAGATAAATAGGTCATGATGATGTAATGTACAGAATGATGACTATAGTTAACACTGCTTTATGATATTAACAGATTAGATCCTAAGAGTTCTCATCAAAACGAAGGATTTTTCCCTTCTTTTTATTGTATTTATATAAGACAATGGATGTTAACTAAACCTATTGTGGCAATTATTTCATAATAAATGTAAATCACACCATCATGTTGCATGCCTTAAGTTTATACAGTGATGTGTGGCCAATTATTTCTCAATAAAACTGGAAAAGATATAATTCGTACTCTTAAAAAAATACCCTAGTATACAGCCTGGCACACAGTTGATAAAGGTTAGTAATTACTGTTATCACTATTGGTCTTTAGACAGAGAAACACATTACAATTTTTTTTTTCTTCAAGAATGATGTCCTCAGCCCAGGCAGCAGCTGGTTACCCATGGGTGAGAGAGGGTACAAGGCTTAGTGATGTTTCCCAGATTTACCCTGCTGTCTAAAGAATTGGTTTTTTATAAAGCGTCTCTTCTGGAGATTCTGATTCAATTGTATTATAAAATCTGTATTTTTAACAAGCATCCCAGATGATTCTGACAAGCAGGCATGTCTGGGAAATCCTGGGTTACAGGAAACCCATCCCACCCACAGGATGGGAGTCTGTGAAGCGGGTAGAGAGGTCTTCCCCAGGCGGAGATGGGCCATTGGTGGGGAGTGTTGGAGAGGAGACCCCTAGTCCTGCTAGTCATAGACCTCTCCCCACTGTAGACACAGACATTCTTCATGGTAGCCTGGGGAAATGCCTCCCTCTTGGAAAAGGAGGGAGGTGTGGGCTGCTCATGGCCGCGGGATGTGGCTTGGGTCAGTCAGGGTAAGGAAATGCACCATAGTAGCAAAAGGAACACAGCCTCCAGCTGGAGCAGGTGCAACAGCAGAGAAATCTCCCTTCCTTAGCTCCATCTGTGGCCTGTCTGCTTTCCAGGTCACCATCTTGATTTCCTTCACTTAAGGCATTCCCAGCTTATTACCAATATACACAGTGAATTGTTTTTGCTGCTTAAAACGGTGACGTGCAAACCACTCCCATTATAGCCTCACAGCTGCACCCCCAGCCTCTGTACTTCTCTCCAGAAAATGGTTCCATATTAGTTGAAAGAAGCAGATGGGCCAACAGTTTGGAGGTAAACGTGAACTTCTTGCCAGCCTGGAGTCTTTAATGCTCCTTTCTCCTTCACAAATTCAGCCTTTTTCTACCTCTATTTTGCCGGCCAGCCATACTTCCTCTGTTTGCAGAATATTAATATACATTTATTTGTATCCGTTCTACAAATGCTCTCCAGTGTTTTTCATTTGTGACAGTCTCATCTCACCCAATAGGTTCTGAGTTCTTGAGGACAGAGACCAGAAGTTTTTTTCTTCCATTCTCTCCATCTTTGTCCTCGCCCAGTATGTGTGACGGACTGCCTGGCATGCCATAGGCTAGAGTTGTCATATTTGCTTTGCTTAAAGCAAGAAGTAAGAGAACCTCTCTGGGGCTAGAATACCTGCCCCTCTTATATTTAAAGCTGTGTTCCCACACCTGGCTGGAGAGGAAACAGCTGAGGAGTTGGGTCATTTTCTAAATACCGATTCCCAGGCCTCACCCTGGAACCATGAAATCATAAACTCTGGAGCTGGGGCTTGACTGATTTTCATGCAACCATTCCAACACTTGTCAGTAGACTAGTATTTAGGAACCAGTAACTTTAGAGCATATTTATAACCAGAATTTTCAGCTGTATCAGAGGGGAGAGTGTCTGCATACAGATTAAGGTCACAGAGCCACCTAGAAATCTTCTGTGTGCTCAACTGTCATGGAATATTCTGGAAAAGTCTTTATGGCCATAGAGGGCAGAAGTCTTAATTTTCATGAGGTGCATGGACCCAGGGAAATAACTCAAACCAGGCTCATGACTGAGGTGTCCGTTCAGAGGTCCCTATGGGGAGCCGGACAGGGAGCCTATGGGGAGCCACATAGGGAGGCCCCAGACTGGACAGAGGTTTGGTGGAGTGGAGCAGCCAGGAGGCAGAGAGGGAAGGGGATGTGGGAAGAGCCCCTCAGAGTGTCCGGGGTTCTGGGAACATGGAGGCCATGGTAGAGAAACAAAATGAGTCATCCAGTGGAGGAGAATGTTGGGCATGAAAGATGGCAGATAATGAGTGACCTAGAGGGGCTGGCCCATGGAGCAGGGCTGAGGGCTGCAATGGTCAGAGGGGCCAGCTGTGGGGCAGAGCGTTTGACTAAAAGTGAGGACTCTTCTCATGCTTCCCTATGTCCCTCAAATTATCCAGGGAAATTCTGTGTTTCTCTTGGTCAACCAGTAGTGCGCTCACAACATGAGATTTGTGGAATGACAGAACTCCTACTCCCATCGTCTCCCTTAGTAAGTGACAACTGCGGTTTCTGGCTCAAGACACAACCCTTGCAGTTACACTTCACGTCTCTCTCACCCCCCATGTCTCTCTTGCCCACCAGCAAGCTCTGTGGCCCCATCTTCCAAGCGAAGCCTGAGTCTGGCCACTTCCCATGACTCTGTCACCAGCCGAGCCAGCAACCTCCCAGCTGGATTTCTGCCCCCTGATGGGTTGCCCTGCTTTGACACTTGCTCCCTGCAACCCTTCTCCATGTCACATACATCTCAGGTGAAAAGCCATCAAATGCACCATACCTTTTTTTAAAATTGATAGTAATGGATTATAACACATTGAAAAAACAATCTAAATCCACTGATATTTAAGAAAGGAGGGAGAGGTTTACTTTACAGAATATAATGGATAATATGAATGAATGAATGAATGATAGAATTAGAAGATCACCCTTTTGCAGCAGCAACTAATTCAGGTAAAGATCATCATGGACTCTAAAACCATTAGGTGAAAGATTGTTGGCCAGTAGGGCATTCATACACTCTCAAAGTATCACTCCATTGATTACTTATTAATCACAAAGAGAAAGGGCACCTTAACAGTGGAGAAATCTGGCAGACATCCCCTTAACCAAGTTTCTACACTTAGACTCACCAATAACGGGACAAACTTATATTACATACTTCCCATGTGTTGGGAGGTACACAATCATCTATGTACTCCACACCCTTGCAGCAGGAGGCCCTTTTAAATGGCAAGTCACACCAAGGCTTAACGCTGCTTCAAGCGCTCGAGAAGCTTCCCATTGGAAGGCCTAGCAGATCATGTGGGATCAGCTCCTCCCACCTCCATGACCTCTTCTCCTCCCACTCTCCCTCTCTCTTTAGCTCCAGCCCCCCGGGTCCCCAACTGTCCCCTCAGCCTCCATGCATACTCCTGCTCTGGTCCCTGTTTTTCTGCTGTTTGCCGAGGTCTTCCCCA